TATTAAAAAAAAAAAAAAAAAAAAAAAGTATATCTATACCAATAAATCTCCAGTATCTAAATGCCTTTCAGGAGCAGGAGCTGGTGCTGGAGGTGGCAATGGAGCCGAATCAACAGGAGTAATAGAAAGATCATGTGAAGGAGATGCCTCCGTTTCATCAGTGGGTAAGTTCGGATCTTCAGAAGGAGAATCTTCCGGCTTGTAAGTAAGTTGCAACTGTCCAGGATGAGAAAATATAAATTTAAACATTGTGAAACAGAAAATTTCTAATATACATAAATAAAATACTCTAGGACACACACAGACTATAAAAGAGAAAAGAAAGTCACGGTACCCTGTAAAGTAGATTAGAAACACGGAAATAGATCCTAAAAGCAAATTCTCACAAATAAATCCAATTATTGGTATGAAAAGTGGTCAAGAATATACTAACCAGTGGTTCATTTGGTACCGTAACCATTCGTGGTGCCTCCCGAATGTACTCTTCCATTGTATTAAGAAATGACTGTGGAGGCTGGAAGTGGATAACGAAGCATGTAGTAGGGAAGTATAAGTTCATACTATAAGCTTAAACTTGATAAGAAACATAAATCGCTATAATATCATCATTACTTCTCTTAAAACAGGAAACTGGAAATTCCTAGCAAGTTCCAACCCTTTGCAAATATCATAGAAATCTGATAGGTTTCCGGCCTGCAGCATGGAAAAGGCAAGACAAATAAACCCGTAATACCTGTTGGTGTCTGATATAAATAAGGTTGAGAGACATTTGAAGGGAAAACAACCAAAAACAAGAAACCATTGCAAAAGATAACTATAACATTTAGAAACAAAAATGAGTTCAGAAATACCTGTTGGCCAGCTCTTTTGTAGATATCAAGGGCTTTGATAGCCTCATGTCTTGGCATCTCAAAAAACTGTAGGAAATTGAATAACTTTTCTGTCACCAATGCACTCTATGTATCTGAGTCCTAAAGTTTTGATTCCTTAAGATACTAACCTTGTCAACGAGATTTATAATTCCATCATTAATAGCACAATAGATTTTAAAGCTCTCTTTCAATACCTGAAAATAGCATGTCACGGCATTATCAAGACTGGGAATAAAGCAATGTTAGTGAAAAGTATACTTTGAGAACAGATACTACACTTGATCTCAGCCAAAAGGCTGAGAGAATTTTAGAACTCTTTCCCACGTAACAGAGGATACAGGCATACAAGAACAATGGCTTTTGCCCACATAAAGAGCACTATCCCGGTCCTTACATATGAAACATGGAGAAAGAGAGCTGGTCAAATAACAAAATCAAAGATATCCAAGTTTTTTTTTTTTTAAATTTCACCATGTGAATAAGACACCCCCTACCGCAACAAAGTAGTAAAGCTGTTCATTGAACGTTAAGTAGGATGAGGGGAGGCATGTATCTTTCTTATAACTCTTAAATTTCAATCCATTACGACCTTGCATTTTTTCTTGTCCATTGAACGTTAAGTGGACAGGTAAAGGAAAGGAAGTCTAATTACCTATACTAAGCCTACCTAAGAAGCTAAAAAAAAGAGGATATGGCCCACAAAAGATGCAAAATAGTGATAACCAACTATAATAATAATAGAGAAAACATTAACATTAATAATATTCTCTGCTACAATAAAAATTATCCTGGAACTGAGATATAAGTAGAAGAAATTCAGCATACCAGTGCCAAGGCATACTGTATAACATAATTCCCAATAGCTGCTCCTTCAGGCTGTAATTTCAACATCAGGTAATTTTCGTACTTAGAAGGTCAAAGTAAAGAGTTCTAAAAAAAAAAATTCATATTCTGAAAAAGTTTATTTAATTATCAAATGAAAGTTGGAGGTTCACAGGTGTCAAAAAGAT